TTCGATAAACCACGGAAGTTCAACATCAATCGAATTATGCAGCTATCCGAAAAATGGCAAGAGATCATAACTAGTAATCATAATTTTGCAATCATTGCAAAATTGAAACAAAATACTCAAGTTCTAGTTACTTTCGAAAAAAAGCATTAATGAATTCTCCATCATTAAAAACTCAATTTTACAATCAATTATTTAATTATTTTATATATTTAATTATTTCATTATTAAATTTATTTCACAAAAGATATAATGAATAAATTAGTAGCTTTACTTATCGCTTCATTAGATACGATTTAGAGAATACACTTATATGGTGGAATCGAGGCATCCCAACAGAAGTACGTTCTTCCTAATACTTTACAATTATTGTATCTAATAATTTTAAAAATCCCAAATCCCAATTATTTATCATATAATTGTTATTTATATTTTAGTTAGAAAATAAAATTAATAATAACTGACAAATTAAAAAATTTATTAAAAAAAACCAATCACTTTTAATATATTTCGTAGTGCGCGTTTGTATTGTTGAAGCGAGAGGTATATACCGTAAAACCCCCAAATTTTGTCCAACATTGGAGGCTACGTCTAACATAGAATGTGTTGTTGGCGTAGATCGATTAGATTGTGTACGCCGTATACATAAAGGCACAGCACACTTTGGCGTATTGACCTCTGAAGATTTAGTCGCAGCTCGCTGGGCTAGTGTGGAAATTCTTGTAGCTAGTGAACTACGTTCACATAATTCACCTTTTGAATACGAAGTTGTCGCTGTAGTCGACAATGAAGCTGATATCAACACTGTACATGACTTACGTGGCTCAAAATTATGTCACCCAGGATATGGTCTAGAAAATCATTGGACAGACGTTTTAGCTAATGTATGTATGGTATTATATTTTGTATTATTTATATTAATATATAACTTGTAAACATTTTTTATTTTCATGAAAGTATTTTGAATCAACATTAGTTGCTAAATCATGTGATCCTGAAATTTCAGTAGTCGAGGATCGCATTCGTTCTGCAGCAAAATATTTTGGTCCTAGTTGCAAAGCTGGACCTTGGGTCCCTGATCCAAAACAAGATCGCATCTTAAAAGATCGTTATTCAACCTTATGCCAAATGTGCTATGATCCTTATCGTTGTGGAATCGGTGATAAGCATTGGGGTAGAAGAGGAGCTCTTTATTGTTTAACAAGTGGTGGTGGTAATGTGGCTTGGGCACGTTTGGATGATGTCCGAAGTCACTTTGGTGTAAGTTTAAATACGTTAGATTATTATTTCAATTTAATGATAAAATATTTTCTCATCTACTAGCTTACTAGCTTGCCAGCACAAGCCGAATTATCAGAATATAGTTTTCTCTGCATGGACGGTCACATGCAACCCATAAACTCTACTAAACCATGTGTATGGGTAGCCAAACCTTGGCCCGTAATTGCCGCTAGACGATCTCATGCTGCTCAAATACAAAGACTAGTTACAGGTTTATCACATGATGATCCAAATAGTTGGCAAAACGCACTTCTTAGTTTATTAGAAACATATCATATTGATATAAATCCACTTGACAATGTAATACCAATTGATGACTATCTAGATCAAGCGCCTGCATTTCAAAGTGCATACAGTTTTCCAGAATGCAATCCCCCACGTTCAATTGTATATTGTACGACATCAATTATTCAACACATAAAATGTTCATGGTTACAGGAAGCTTCTCAAGTGTACGGTGTGGAACCAAACATTCAATGTATACGTTCTGCAAGTTTAGAATCATGTATGGATGATACACAATTCAAAGCAGCGGATGTCGTTGTAGTAGATCAAGAAAGTCGTGTCAAAGCACAAAGAGATTATAATCTCTTGCCGATCCTTTATGAATTTTCACAAAATATGCATGATCGTTACGCTACAATAGCAGTAATACATAATGATGCAAAATATGAAAGTTTTAAAGATCTAAAAGATGTTAAAGCATGTTTCCCATCCTATGAAGGTGCTGCACATTTGTCCGTACAAGATACAATATATAATATTACTGGTCAAGTAACAAGTATACATAACTATTTTCATCGTGACTCATGCACTTGGCATCCTCACTCACACCGTAAATGTCCTGAGTATTATAAAGGTGATGAAGGTGCGTTGCGTTGCTTGGCGGAGGGTGCTGACGTAGCTTTCCTTAGCTCTGATATATATAAGTTATATACAGTTGGTAATTTAACATCAGACTGGGTTGCAAAAACAAAACAAAAATCCTTTAAAATTCTTTGCCCCTATGGTAGTAACGAACATGGTTCTAAATTTGAATATTGCTATCTTCACTGGACATCACGCGGTCACTTTATGACTCATAATAGCACGATAGCTCGACGAAATGAAATATATAATACGTTAAGTGATATGGATCGTTTATTTGGAAAGACTTACAAATCAGAAACACGTCCCTTTACAATGTACGGAATATTTGATAAACGCAATAATGTTTTGTTTCACGATAGTACTGACAGTTTAAAGGGATCACAGGATTTGAAGAAAGATTATGCCAAACGCTCTATGGAAGATGTATACGAAAAATATGCGAGTCAATTCTATACAGATTATAGTGCAAGCGCCGCTAAAAAATTTATATTCAATATATATGGATATTCGGCTTTTGCATTCATTTATTTAATAATTTGCAGATTTTTCTATAGTTTTTAAGTCAATACTTTATTCCATTTACTTCATTAATGTTTAGTTATTTATTGTGATATTACTTTGTAATAGTATAGTTTTTAAAATCTTTGTAATGAATATTTAGTGAAAGGATACATACATTTTAATTTCTCATGGGCGTATTCAATAAAAGATAATGATATTAACTTTAAAAAATAATGCTTGTTTTAAACATATCCCCAGTTTTTTATATGCATACTAAAAATTTATTTAAAAGTAAGTAAATAACAAAATAAATAGCAGATTAGACATATTTAGTCCAATACTTTTGGACTACATATTTGTGTTTGAGCTAAGCAATTCAGGAAAGCCAGGGATATTGCCGATTTGTTAACTGATAACTTTTTTGATAAGATATATTTTAGATAAACTCAGTTGATATATAAAATGGATTTACGATATTGCATGAAATACAATGGATTGGACTATTCTATTGTAATAAGAAAGAATAGAGCGAAAAAATACTCATTACTGAAAATAAAAAGCAAAGAAATATTGCAAAGAAACCACGAAAACATTGCAGAATAGACAAAATAACGCTGAACGTGCCGGAGTGTAGTATATACAGTAATCCCCCCCTATAACGCGGTACCCTTATAACGCGATTTCAATCCCCAGTATAACACGGGCATTCCCCCATATAACACGAGTATTTGTACAGTTCATAATTTGCTTCGCTAACCTTTGCGCGTGTGTATACATGGTATACGGGAATACTCCTACAACCCGTTTTCCTGAAACGCGGAACCAATCTACCGCGTTATAGGGGGAATTACTGTACATATTTATACATAGTGAACTGAACTAGCCAGAATTGTCCCAAGGGGCGGTACACTAAGCACAACTTTTTTTGGCAATGTTCTTACATTGTTTTTACAGTGTTCTTGCAGTGTATTATCTGTAAACTAAACTGCAAAAATTATGGTTTTTCTTTAATCTCCCCATCCAGTGAACTTTAGAACTTCTTACAATTCGTTTATTTTCTAGAATTACTATCTTCTGCATCTCTCATATGATTTAAAGTATACGTACGCTGCTGTAATACGGTGCACTTTGTTATATAATTCTTTAACCCCTAGCAGGAGCATAGAACCGCATGCACTATGTTATGGCATTATGACATAGATCAAATACTGTTGTCAGATTTGGGGGGTAAAGGTAGGAGGGGTAAAAAGTCTTAATATATAATATTATACTAAATTAATCTAAGTAAGAGAACCGTGAACAACAAGTAAGACAGGAAAGAAGATTCTGTCTCGTGAATGTGGAACAACGTATACAAAGCTATGATTGGATTTAATTTATTACAAATTCTACAATCTGGTTCATAACTACCCACTTCCCGACCCTGTCATTTACAAGAAAGCTGAAGTTACTCGTATAAACGAGTAGTTTCCGTAACCCCATTGTCCACACATGGCTCACGTAAACTCACCAGCTCTATCGACCTTCTTTCTACCTTTACTATGCCCATATCTTCTGGCTTAAATAAACCTTGACTTCTGGGTACTAAGCCTCTTCATCTTAATTTTCTCACCTAATTATTAGAATAAGTTTTCACACTCCGGTGAAAATGTTCTACATTCATTTCTAAGAAGTGATAATAATGAATAAAAGTCTTAAATTACTGTTGATGCTTGCCAGCTTCTGCAAATAAGAACATGATTTGTCACACATTGACCTATTGGGCTGGAAATTTAGAAGTTTCTGCCTCATAAGAAAAAGTAAGTCAGGAATTAGTGGTTGCTACGCTGATAAATACATAACGATGCGCTTCAATATGCAATATACATACATAACATATATAAATATCAATATTATAAGCTTTGTGACATATTAACTGAAAATAATTCCCTGGTAACATTAGGCAAAACGTATTACCTCGATTTGCAGATATAATACCTCGCTTTACAGATGAATATATATAAATAAAAATGTTGTCGTGGAAACTTTATATAATTAGTCATATTTCCAATTACTAAAGATATTCTAAATGAATGTTTAAGAATAAGTCGTAAATTATTTGAGCAGATCTAATTTTAATTTTCTAAATAATTAATTAATTTATGATATAACGTTAGTTACAAGTTTCATGGCATGCAATCTTCATAATAATAATTTTTTTAATTATGCGTTTCAACAAATGTAAATGGCAATAAAAATGAATTATAAATTAAATTAATTAAATTGATTAACAACGCGTATTATTTAGTCGCGACATCTACAGTTGAATAGAAAGAGAAATTTATATGAAAGTAAAATTTACTCACCCTGCAAATCACCAGCTGACAAAATGTTGAATTGTATTTGTTTACAAGTTGCTAAGCAAAATTGTCACAACAATAAATGTATTTCGCATAAATATTATTTTATCGCTTAGTCATTATAAAATAATAACAAAAAATTTCAAAACTAACGTGATAAAATTTGTGAAAAATATGTCTAAAAGTCAGCAAACTGGTCAACCAAAAATCGTAAGATGGCAACGAATTAAGAGAAAACTAAATTACAACACGATAGTAAACTTTTTTTGTTATCACTATGGAGAATAAATTTGCACTTACAGAATTTTAAATAATAGAGCACCAAAATTAATTTTTCACAAATAAAACTACAATAATCAATTTGCAAATTATTTACACTTTTTTATGAAGTTGCTGTTGTCAGTAACGTAAGTCTCAATTATTAATTTGTTAATCAAATACTTCATCGCACAATTATTCCATTTTCAATACATTCCACTTTCGCAAATGTGGTGGTTTTAATTGATAAGAAAATGCATGCCGTTATTTTAAATATTTTCATTTCATTGCTTGTACTTAAAATAGAAGTAATCCGAACTAAAATAAAGAAATTAACACATTTTTCTTAGGCATCAAAAGTTTCAACTGGCGCTAAATCGAAGAAAGTGAATACTGCAGCAACAACTAAAATAAAACGGGATAATTCGATTAAAGCAGCGGCGGATAAAGAAGAAAAACTCTCTCAAGCAACATCGCACACAAATCGCAACGGCAATAAAAGTAAAATCAAAGTATCTAATTTGCCACTCGAAAAACAACAAAAAATTGAGAAAACAAAAACTTCAAGTGTTAGCTCTTCAAATAAAAAAGAAATCAAGAAACAAAATGTTTCGTCTAATACAGATAAAGCAAAACAGCTTCAAGTCAAGCCTCGCACTAATACCGTTGAAGCAGCTCAGAAGAAAACAAAAAATGCTAAGTCCTCAGCTATTAAATCAAATATGATATTGAATACTTACCATAATGTTACCATAAGCTCTCCACCATCACAACGAAAAGATATTAAAGTGGATAATAACTTGAATGGCGTCCGTGAAACGAGTACAAGTCAAAAGCTTACTAGAAAAGGTAGTAGAACTCTTGAACCGGATGAAGTTATAATGCTTAAGAGAGATTCTGCTAAGAAAAGAATTGAAAAACAAATAGAAACTGATAGGAGTGTAATAAAAAGTGAACAGAATAAACCACCTGTTGCATATGAAGTTACTTTCGAAAAGCAACCCAAAGTTGTGAAAATACCTAAACCAAATTTTCCTCCTACAAGTAAAGATGAAGATGACCAAGAACAAGAAACAAATTATTCAGATGATTTTGAATCGTATGAGTCAGATTTCGAAAATAGTTATTCAAGTCAAACGCATATTTCATCTGAATCAGAAAGTTTTACTGAAAATCACACAGATAATAAATCAATTGAGAGTTTAAACAATTCAACTACAGATAAAGAAACAAGCATAAAGAGTTTTTCAAATAATAATAAAGAAATAAAAGAAACGGAAGTTTTACAATACCAAACTACGAATCTACACAGTGAAAAGGAACGAAAATTGGATTCGGGGAATTATGAAATCAATATACGGCAAATTCCAATACAAACGGATAGATTGATTCCCACAAAACCAGAGCCTTTTCAGAACAGTTTAGATAGCCTTAATGAAACCAATTCTGAGCAAATGGATTCTGGTATTAGTGGTGTTGCTATTATAAATGAATTTCACAATACGAACACAGCTGTTTTCTATAGTGGATATAAGGATTTTAATCATAAACCAAAAATCAGTAAACGTGGAATTGATTTAAAATCAAAAATTCGTTTCGATTTGATGAGTTTTGTCTTTTTCGACCAAAAACCAATTACTTTCGAAAATTTTAAACAGATCTATGGAAAATTGAATACAACTCAAAGCTATACTCAAACGAATGACAATCGTATATCAACTGAATGCCAAACTGATAGCTATGAAACTGTATCCATATGGACACAACATCCTCCGCAATATGATTTGCTATCAATGCAAAAAGTAACAGTTGTGCACAATAATGAAGTTATCACTTCCAATAGTTATGGAAAATTTTATGACGATGAAACATTAACAAATATCCATTCAACAGATGAAATTGATAGAAGCCTACGGGCTCTCCACAAATTGAGTAAAGCTAAAAATATTCGTTATGCAAATCGTCAAAAAACAACAATTTTAAATAATTTTATTGATTTTGAAAGATTAAATAGATTTCTATTAGATTCTCTACTATTAATATCAAAAATTTTAAATACTCATGACAACTTAACAGATTTTAATAATCATAAGGATTCAATACCCAATGAACTCTCTACAATAAGCGATGGCTTTGTTCAATTAAGTACAGACTTTTTAAATGCACTACGTGTAATACGGGTTTTTTCAAATGCGAGATATAATTTAATAATAACAGTACATGAGACTCGACCTGATGCAGATGTTTACCGATCAGATTTTGCCAATCTCCTAATGGTGTGGTCAACAAATATGTCTAAGAAACCAATACGCTTACTTTCAACGTGGTGCGAAGTATGTCATGCTGAAATTTCTAATGAATCTTCAGATATAATTGTATGTGGCTTAAGTGATGGCAGCATAGCTATGTGGGATTTGCGGGAGACCTACTCATTTTGTTCTAAACTTGATGGGCAGTTAACTCACTTTACCGCAACACAAAGTGTCGTTCCTAATTGGGATGAGGGAAGTAAGAACCTTCAAGCAATAGATTTAGGTGCTGTGATTGACGTAAAAAGTTTTCGACCTCAGACCAAAGGAATCGTTACATCAAATAGAACAATCGAATATAACCCACTACAGGTATTTGCAAGTTTTTTCACTTATGCACATGTTTTTAATATAAAAGTATATGTACTTAACATATTTTATATTTTTTTATACAATTTTGGCAATATCAAAGTCAACCTTATTTAATAAAACCTAAAGTACCGATTGTAATCTCAGTCCAATTTAAGATTGTTAAACGGTTTAAAATAAGTTGTATGAGAATAAAAACAAATATAAGTATTTATATATATATATGAAAAATACTTAAAATCATTTACTAAAGTAACTGAATCCAACATTGAAACTGCTCTTATTATATTGAACCCTTTAACTCTAAGGAGGAGCATAGGGTCGCAACAAAGATCTTCTACTCGGTAGGATTGTTGTCTAGTAACTTCAACTCTCCCCAACTTTTCGGCATATCAATTTGTCTTCTCCAAGTGTGTGCAGGTCTGCCCCTTCTTCTGCTACCCATCGGTGCTCATATTACTAGATGATATTTTCTTTTTGTAATATACAAAATATCTATCACTATATATTCACTATGTATTCACTACATAGAATTACTTACAACCAAATTTTACAGTATCCAAGACAACATCGTTGTTATTACAAATTTGTTGTTTTTATATCGCATAAAATATTTAATTGGTTTGAAAAGAATAAAAATAATATTTCTCAAATTGATGTGCCGTTATGTTTGAAAATTTCTTTTAAAAATTCTTGAATAAACATTTTCAATGTCAGAATAATTAGCATATATTATTACAAATAAATATATAAGGTTAATTTTCTAATTATAATTTAAATTAATAATTATTATGTTGAGTCTTTTCCGAGTTAGTGCATCTGGGTACTTTTACTCTTTGGGGGGTTCTGCAAACTCTCACCCATTTCACTGACTAATTTGTGTATTCCTCAAAAGCTTCGTGATTATTCAATGACTGATCTAAGATCAGATTATCGCCTCGTGCGCTTAGTGATTACTCTCAGATTAGATAGTGCTAAGTAGGGCAGCCTGTCGGTTTTCGCATATGGCTTCAGGGCTCTGTCCGTTATGTATTTTTTGAGTGCATCTATTCTAAGGTCTCTTAGCATGTCATTCTGATGTGCTATGACACACTTTAAACAACTTGTAGCTACTAGATGGTGGAATCGGCAGCTGTTTTGACTGATATGCTAAAAAATTTTACATCCTTCTTCTGTTCTTCCATTCCTGTCAGCATTAATGTTACTTATTCAATGAACTAATATATTTATTACATTATTTAATATTTTAGTTTGCCTCTCTAAATGACAGTGGAATATTAACTATTTGGACCCTTGTGGAAACAGCTTCGGAGTTGATGGACTTCTCTACTATGCGCAAAAAAGTGATAAAAAGTAATGCGAGTAATTATGCACAAATGGAATTCAATTCACCATGGGCGCGGGTAAAACTTATCCAAAGTGCAATTTGTAATTTACAGATTTATTTAGAAAAAAATATTTTAAAATCACAAAACCCATTTGAAAAAACAATCTCGAACTTTCAGAGAAATATTTATAACGACAATGCGTTAAAACAGTTAAAAGAAATTCAAGCAGATTTAGGACTTTGCAAAAATTCAATTGGTTTACGATTCGTTTGCATTGATACAGGTTGTGAACAAATCTATATCTGTACTAATAATAACTTTATAATTGCTTGTCCCAAAACTCTTAAAACCGAGTACATACGAAAAATAATCATTAACAACAGTCGCTTTCTATTTCCGACCGCAATTTGTGTTTTAACAAATGAGCATTTTCTCGCAGTTGGTCTGTCGAATGGTTCAGTGATGGTACTTAATTGCAAACCACAAAATAAGTATGATTCAACAGAAGATTACTCTAAGAATGATAATAGTAAAAATAATGAAACAGTTGACACTCCCCCACCAGATATTGATCTGGAGACAGGCAAATCCTGCGCTATACAGAATATTATACTTAATGAGAGGAGGCGAAGTGTAAAATATGAACAAGAATTCGAATTTCGACCCACAACAGCAGCATGTATTCAAATGATTACGAATCAAATGAAGCCCATCGAATTTCGTGTCTACGATCAGCAAATTTTATTGTATGGATCGGCTTTGCGAAAAAACTTGGTCCGCTCTTTATTTGTATCCAGTGATGGTTGGCGTCTTTTTGCACTATCAAACGGAAATGTGCGCACGTATGATTTTAATATGGATAGGGAGATACAAAATATTCCTAACAAGAATGGACATATCTCTAAAGATTTGAAAATTATAGATATAGCAGTTGCAAAGACAAGCAGTACGGCACTGAACCTTATTCTATTAAACGAATCAAATAACGTTGAAATTCACTTTTTAAAACAATAACTTATTTTTATGTATGTTAAAATAAGTTCACATCTCTATAAATTAACGATGATTTAAAAAATTTGATTTTTAAAATATTGTTAAATCAATTAGAAAGGCCATAAATAAATAAATAATAAACGATACATTGTTAAATTTTCAGAAAAAATTACTATGATTGTTTTAAATAATTTTAAGAATTTATTAAAATGTAGGGAATAATATTTTTCAAGATTTCTAAGAACAGGCAATGTATAAGGCGACATATGAGATCTCCTCAGGTGCACATTGTGTTAAGAACACAATATTAAACTAAATTCCGATCTATGGTATAAAAACTGAGAAAACTCAACATTTTTGTTGTATACACAAATGAACTGTTGGATTACCACAAGCCTTTAGAATTGGCCCTAAACTTTGCAAATATTTTATGTTCATTGTTTCTTATTACACATGCTGTCTACTATTTCGTAAATACTTCAAGTCCTATCAAGCGAGTTTTTTCGGAATTATTCTCCACAAGTTTTTTTGTTCTATGGTTACTGTCGAATCCCTTACGACAAAGTAGCCAGACAACTGTTATTTTGAGCATGTTAGACAACTCTTTGAGATTCTTGCAGCTTTATAGCAACTTAGATTTAATAACACAAGATTAATTATGTATTATTATTTAGGTTTATATCAACAGGGGCACAATAGATCTCGAGGTCGCAATGTACATTCCCACAACTTAATAATATATATCAATAATATCAAACGATAATTTAAAACAATTTTATGAAAAATATCCACTAAATGAAATAAAAAGAGATATATGTAATGTTATATTTATAGTAAATTTATTTGCATTAAGTTTCTGGCAATATTTTATATACCATATATGTATTCTTGACACATGTCTCGTATATATTAATGTATAATTCAGCACATGTAAGATATTTTCTTTCTAATTCTGTAAAATATCAGAGGCCTACAAAGCTGATTTCGTTGACGTCCATGGTTGGTCTAGCTTAAACTTGATTAAGATCAAATTACTGTAAAATCAAGAAGTAATTGACATAAAAAAGAATTAGATATATCGTAATTCATGGGTTCCGTGTGTATTTAAATGGGTGACACATTTTATTATACATAAAAAAAAATAAAAAAATTTGAAATAAATTTAGAATACATAAAATATTATTTAACTTTGCCAATCCTTAAATAACATTGAAGCTATATAAATTTATATACAGATATTTATATATCTGTATATAGCAATTATAGTAAAATTTCCCCATTTTATCTTTGAAGGCTCTAATAAGAATGTTTAGTTACAGTTCGTTTAAAATATTTAATAAGAAAATGGTTTAAGGGTGTTTATATTTATATAGCAGTACTACGAGTATTTCTAATTGCACAATGGTTATGATACATTAAGAAAGTAACACGTTTCTGTGTCCATATTACATTAAAATAAAAAGTATATCATTGTTTATATTATTGCATTATTTCAATTATTTAAAAAAAATAATGGTATTCAAAGGTGTTCATATTTGTTTTCATGAAAATAAGACGTTACCAAACTTTAATTACCAAGCCATCAGGTCTGATAGTTTCTTCGTTATTCTATATATAGTAACATCTAAATTTGAGATTTATTTGAAATTTAATACATTTAAAAATTAAAAATAAATAAAAATAATTTTAATATACATTGTATTTAACGTTAGCCATGAAAGAAGTAACTATTATATTTAATAGAAACTAGTATATTTGCTAGAGAGGTTTAAATTACAACTTATATTAAAAATATGTGGTCTCGCTCGTGCGAATCGTAGGGTAAATTGGCATGGCTTTCTCTGTATTACGTTCTATACATAAGAAAGAATACAAATATAATAGTATTGAAATTTAACAATTAAAAATAAAATATAATTAATTAATTTAATTATTCTATAGCCTGTTTATGATTTCGTTCTAATATAACACAGCAAGTGGATTTTTCAATAAAACCTTTCACACAAATTAACAAATCTCCAGAAAAATGTGCGAACATAAAAGTCAAGTACAGCTTGTGTGAGTTAGTTAAGGAGCGCTGACTCTGAGCTTCAAATTTGGCAGGATAAAAGTTCAACCCCTAGTACTTGCAGTTTCAAAAAAATTATTTTCGAATAATTAAATACAAGAAATAATTCCTCTACCAATGATGATGGGTATTTGATATTACTCGAAACAGCTGTATGGTCAGCTAAAAATTCAATAAATTAAAATTATATAAAATTAATTTTAGTTGTAGTTCACTAGTTTTCGAAACCTCTGTAATCAATAAAAATAGAAATAAAAGAGTAAAGAAAGTAGAAATGAGTAATTTTATAAAATAACACAATTTTAACTTGAGTTCTAATTTTATTTTAAATTTTCTTGCTATTTTAAAGCTTTTATTTAGCTGGTTTTCTAGCTAAGATTATAAGATTGTACTGGTTTAACAGTACAATCTAATAACTTAACCGAGAATTAATTACAAAGGCACAATCAAAGGTCTGTCATGTTATGACTTTACCAATTATCAAGTTACCGAAGTACTTTTAAATATTCCTAATATTCAATATCCGATTCTGATAAATTAACTTCATTCATCTAACTATAAACCTAACTTTTATAATTCTCACTTATTTAGTTTCTTTGAAAGCTTAACAGATAGACTGAAACAGGATTTTTTTTTTTTAATTTCCACACAAACTATTGAAATGAATAATTTATGAGCTATGAAATTTGTTTTTTACAACGAAAAAAAAACTGTCCTTAAAAACCCTTTCTTAGTATTTCATAACAAAAAGAGACTATAACAAAAGGAAAAAGTTATTGCGGCAAAAAAGCTTGTTCGGCAGGTACTTATTATGACAAAAACACAATTATGACACTAATTGCCTTGCTTTGTCGTAATTCATTCGTTGCAATTCTGATGACATTTTCAAAATTTAACATTGTTACTCTTTTGTTTTGTTATTATAGCTTTATATTAACATTAGTGCGACACTAATAGATTATTCTGCAACGATTAGAGCAATGAATAACACCTGGAAAGTCTCATCCAATTGTCTCAGGCAGGAGACAGTCAGGACTGTATAAAGGCAGAATATGTTTTAAGGGTGCAGTGTGTATGCGAGTATATGCATGTATGAATGTAAGTAATGCGTACCATAGCATTTAATAGTTTGGTAATTTATGTATAATTTGTATTTTTTTTCTTTACACTATATTAATACAATTATCAGGTGTAATTCCGTTGAAAGCAGATCAGAAGTGTGATGATTCCAAATGAATGAAGTGAAGCTTCGTTTAAACACACCACACAATTATGTTAGACACAATTAGGCAGATTTAAAAAGATTCGAATAAGGATTTTATTGGATTTTTGTTAATAAATTATCTGTGATGAACTTGTAATATGCTGCTATTTGAAAACAAACATATTCACACTTCTACATACAGCATAATGGGAATAATTTCACATGCTACCAACTTGGTGAACCTTTTTTCCAAAAATGTTTAGAACTTGAATACTATATACATAAACAGACAGGGTTAAGTGTTAAAAGGAGAGATTGTACCTCATACCTTGCACTCATTAACATGTGTAACTACCAGCAAATAAAATTTTTCATACATATGTCACATTTCCAAATATCAAATAGGACTCGATTTATGTCTGTCAAAAATTACTTATAATGATGAGTTTGGCAGGAAGGAAGCGCTTTGCCCTTCGCTCCTGAGGTTAAATTAAGTTCAATATGTTAAGACACATACCAATAAATGTACACATAAATTAATAATACATATCATGTTTATAATGACAATAACATTAACAATGGGCAAATTTGAAAAACGTAATTACATTAATATCCATTACGAGTACTTACTGTGCTTGGAATAAATTATTCATAAAGACATTAGAGCCAGTATCTAGCATATGTATATATATATATACATGTATAAAAATTATTAATGTTATATATTAACTTTTTATTTATGTTCAATATAAATAAGTTTTCTTAACTATACATTTTTTTTTATTACATTTATACTAAAAAGAACACTAAAAGCCATCTCGACTTACAAAACAAATATAATAACATAATATTATATTTCGGTACCACTGGTGAAAAACGGTGTAAAGAACATACGACCAAGTTACAAACGATGTGATGTCACTCAGTTCTACCAACTGATGAGAGCAATCCACCGAGTCTTCAAACTCTTTTACTTTTTTTTCACTTAATAGAGATATTTGTTTATTAATAAGTAATTTAAGATTAAATAAACTTTATACGCTATAGAAGTGTTATTCATTGTCCATATAAACTTATATTTTTATACAAAACTTTACTTGAATATAATTCTAAGGAACACATTTTCTTTCACATATCTTAGCAAATCTTAAGACTACTTTTTTTTCACAACTTTTTTTTATAAATATCGCCTTTATGCATCAATATATAGTTAGCTCTCGTAATAAAAATATAATAACTTAAATGTTGGTCCAAATTTTGTATTCCTTTCTTGCACAATAATTTTATCTTAGCCCCAAAACATCCATTTGTTTCAGATACAATATTTTTGTTGAGCTAAAATCTATTATCTCTGAGTATTCTGTCAACTATTCAGTCAACTTAACGTCAGATTGTAATTAAGCTTTCGAGATTGCAAGTTACTATAATCATGTGGATTTCTTCAAATGTGGACTTTATATAATAAAAATCCTTGTGGTTATTTAACTTCATTGACGTATGAACTATGAAAAAGATATGATAGAGTAGTTAGTTTTGGTTTTTAAGCTAAACATATTTTAATGACCCTCTTAAAAATAATATCAATAACAGCATTACTTTCTATATATAAATATTGTATATAAAGTGGGTCTCCGCTCGTCTTAAACTCCGGTAATTCAGATTGCCTGGTCGATTACTCGATTTCGATCGATTACTAATTCTCTAATCCAGATTACACATGATGAACATGTCTGCTCGATAGTCGAATGAAATAAATCACATTTATGGGTAATTTGTGTACCTTCTGCTCAAAAATTATCCGGATTTTGTTGTTTGTTAACTACTCCTTAAATAATAGACCTATTTCAAAAATATTTTGTTATGTTGGTACACCCTTTCTTGCCATTTCTTGCAAATACAAATTTGAGCGCCATCTGTCAATTAGTTTGTTTACAGCAGCTGTTATTGTGAGACTACCTCAAGTGCATTTAGCGATTTTTACTATTGAAAATTCTTCTTGCTTTTTCCTGTTCCCGAAAATCAAATTGCCGCTTCGTGGTAAGCGTTTTGAGTCGATTGAATCGGTAGAAGAGAATTCGCTGAAGGAACTAAAAGCCATACCTTTACGGGCCTACGAAAAGTGTATGTAAGATAGGTTAAGCGTTGGCATATGTGTATCGCTTTAGAATGAGCATATTTTGAAAGAGATAAAATAAATTTGGAATAAAATTTAAATTTGTGTGTTTTATTTACAAAATCCGAGTACTTTTTGAACAGAAGGTATATGAATATAGATTTTACGCACTGCTTTTTAAATGAATCCATAATGAATTTCATAATTTAATTAAACAAAACAAATAAACAAAAATCAAATATATTTTAGTTATAGACATTATTTCGGTTTTCACTATTTAATTATGATTAAGTTATGAATTTCATTACGGATTAATTTAATAAGTAGTGGATTATTGTTCAGTTTTTATTCAGTTTCTTTTGTTAAAATAAAAATATGAACATATATACAAACTTTTATAGTTACTGTTTTTCCCGTATAAGTTACAAGTTATATCAATTATTGTATTACATTATATTCTATACTTAATTGTTCATCTTATATGCAATCTTAAATCTGTTAAAATTACTGTTAATATGTTATAATATAATAATCATAAATAAAAGAACTTACTTACTACTACTACTACAAACTCTTAAGGATTTTAAATTCGACTCCCCAATCCGAATATCTCTGTAACAGACATTTTAATGTCTGTTTAAAGGATTAAGATAAGCGTATATCTATTGTATATGGATGTGTATATATATAAATCTATGAACGGCAGCTAACTCTATTATAGTTAACTTAC